GTCCAAGTCATCACCGGCTGTGTCACGTAGGACTTCTAGCGTCCATATCAGCGATTTCCGATCAAAATTGACTATAATGACTCAATTGATAAATTGTCAAAAGGTTTAGGTCTAAATTAGCTAAATTGAAAAGTTTAACACTGAATTGACACAAGGGCAATATGTTTAGGACTGTATTGGTAATTTTCCCTAATTTGCCAAAAACTATGCAAATTCTTAGATATGCCAAAATATGCAAATGAGAACACGCTTAAATTCACATATATGAACTTTTCTAGGTAAGTAAACATTCAAAATGCAATTCCTTACACAGAAAACCTCAAGCAAGTCTTGAATATAATTAATGCTTACAACATGCTATCTATGACTTTTGTGTAACGTATTAAACATGCAATGCAAATATTAATTCATAGACTGGTACCTTTTCCTCTTATAAGGAAAACTTTTCATGTGGTTTTTATTTCCTAAACATGCATCTAAATGTCCATGCATTTTTGGTAATAAATCAAACATTTAAAACGTTACCAATTTCATAAAATGTATGTTAAGCAGTAAATAATTGAATAGTAAAAGGCAAGAAAATAATAACTTGAAACAATTAAACAATCCCCGGTTTTAAGGTAAATAGAAAGCAAATGCAAATATTCTGAAGTTGTCAATATTCGCGTTGTCGATTGTTTGAGTTATCGATGTTCACGTTGTCGATTGTTGGTGTGCATGTTGCCGATTCTCTGAGTTATTGATCATATAACTTTTTGATTTTCAATATGAATTACCGATTTGAGTATGTTAACATTGCTTGCATGAGAAATGAAATGAGGTAATCATTCTTTATCATTACCCACATATGTGATCATTTAAAGGGCAAGGCAATTGTATTTTGGAAATGATTTGCATGAAAAGATGTTGTGTACTGGATGTCGATTCTCCAAAATGAGAGTTGATTTCATTGTTGATGCTAGGGAAATCATATGATCATAATATTATTATGTGCAATGCTACTATATGATTATATATGAAAGTATTATGTCATATATTTTCGTAACCCATATATTAGTGGTAACGATACCCCGTGTATTGGGATGTCTCACGAGTCGGGATAACTCTGGAGTGTTTGGGATGCCTTGGGAATCGAGATGCTCCATGAGTCAGGATGCCCAATGAGTGTTCAGGATGCCTCAGAGTGAAGATGTTTTGTGTGTTAGCATGCGTCGAGAGTGTTCGAGATGAGATGAAATAACGAATATGATACATGTATATGTACATATATAAACACATATATTCGCACTTGTCTATTAATGAACTAATTAGTTGTAGTCATGCATCACATTATATGATGCCATCCTCTTGCAATGAAGTTAATAATCTTATGCAACAATGTTCATCGATTTTCATAGGCATATTATGATAGGAAAAATTATGCATTTATTCATCCAATTGCCTCTTCTAAAAATTTAGTACTCCTCTTCATTTTAACATTGTTTTGTGGATACCAAGTTAATTGGTAAGGTGATCTCATACTGTATGATTATAGTAGGAGATCATCTTAACATTGATTTTGTTGTTGATGCAATGGAGATTATATAATTATAATATTATCATATGCACTGCTACTATATTATTATATATGGAAAGTATTATGTTATATTTCCATAACCCATATATTAGTGTTTATGATACCCCGTCTGTCGGGATGTCCCGTGAGTCGGGATACCTTGAGAGTGTTTGGCATTTCTCGGGAGTCGAGATGTCCCATGAGTTGGGATATCCCGGGAGTGTTCAAAATACCTCAGATGGGAGATACTCCATGTGTTCGGATGCCCGAGAGTGTTCGGGATGAAATGAAGTAACAAATATGATACATGTATATGTGCATATATAAACACATATATTCAAACCTATCTATTAATAAACTAATTAATGGTAACCGTGCATCACAATATATGATTTCATCCTCTTGCAATGAAGTGAATAATCTTATGCAACATTATTCATCGATTTTCAATGGCATATTATGATAGGAAAAATAGTGCATTTATTCATCAAATTACCTCTTACAGCAATTTTGTACTCGTCTTGATTTAACATTGTTTTGTAGATACCAAGTTAAGTGGTAAGATGATCTCCTACCTTAAACTGAGATATTTCATTTACTGGGCTTTGACTCATCCCTTTTCTTTTCTTTTCCTTTTTTTGGATTTGTAGAATGGATCACCCTCCACTACTACGATTTGGAGTTCCTGTATATTTTGACTGTGAAATACTAAGACGTATTAGAACCCGAATCAACGATAATTTATACTAGGTGTAGTTCTGTGATATGAATCGATGTGGGGATACCATGGTAGATCCCTCATCAATTTGTTGCCCGGTACTTCAACATTGACGGGGAGTTGGTTGGACCACTTGGAGGCTTCGATGGTCCCCTTGGTTTCTATAGTAATGGCATGTCGATGGGTGAGATTGTCAATTCATAGTTTAGTAGTGTGACTTTGTATAAGAAAGTTTTTGGGTTCTTGACTATGGAGTAGTATCGACAAGACCTGACCTACATCCCAAAGGTTTTGTTTTTTTTGGGTCGAAACCTCCTTCCCAGAGTTAATGCGTTGTATTATGCTTCATTTTGTACTTGTATTAATATTTGGAAGAGGGAAGATAAAGCTAAAATGAATTCACATTTGTCAAACTTACCTTTCTTATGCGATGTGCTTATTATGTTTCCGCATGCTTAATAGTAATAATAGTTTTAGCCAAAAAAATTTGTGTCACGCGTGACATTCGAAAGCATCACAAGATGAACTCGAGATATTGGACATTTGTGTTATGTTTCATCCATAACTCTGGACTAACTCTGGACTACCGTTGCAATTGAGCAATGACTAACTATTTCCAAACCATCTCTTGTAGGGTTGTGCAACCAAACCGGTTCTATCCACAAACCAGACCGGACTACCCTAAAAACCGGTTCAGTTCCAGGTTCCCAATTCCAAAAGTTGGAACTGGTGGGAATCGGTCCGATTCCCGATTCCAAGTGAAGAGCCATCTGGGAACCAGAACGAATTTGGAACTAGTTTTATAAAGCCTAAAAACCTTAATTTTTTTCTTGACATCTTTTTCTCTATATCTCTCTTTTTATCTATTTTCTTTGATCTCACTTACACACTTCACTACTCTCTATCTCTTGCTCACAACTCACCCTCCTCCTCACTCGCTTGTGGCTTGCCCTCGCTCGTTCGAGCCTCACGACTATCACTCGTACCTGACTCGCCTTTGCTCGCTTGCCATCATTCATATTTTATTTTGAATTGTTTTGTTACTCATATTATTTTGCTGTAAAAATAAAATAAAAAAGGAACAAAAGAAAAACAGTTCTCGAGTGGACCTTTGAACCAGACCGGAGAAACAGGGTAGGTTCCAATTCTAATAGGATAGGTTTCAGATTTCAGGTCTAGAACCTATTCACTCTAAAACTAATCAACCCTACTCTCTTGAGTAAATGGCTATAAATTTTATCAATATATAGATAGTTGTCTTGTCAATGGTCAAATCTGAGGTCTTTGTTGCATTTCTAGAGAGTTCAAAATCGTAGAGTGGGAGTGCCAGCATAATGTATACATGATATGCACATTCTTGCTTTGTTTGAACCTCGAAATTGGTCATTTATGCATGTTTCAAAATACATTTTTTTATGTCCTTCTACAATATTCTAGGCTTTTGTCTTCTCATAGCTCGCCCTCACCTTGCATCGCCTGCCGCCACCTCCCACCGACCACTGCCAGCCCTGCCGACCACCCGCCACCCATCGATGAATGGAAAAAAGCATAAGAGAGAGATATTTAAAAAGGTCTATCAAATAAAATTTTGTTTCGGGAAAAGAAATTTTGTATCATTATCAAACGCGTATCTTTATTCAAAATCTCGTCCAGGCAATAGAAATAGAAAAATCCATTTCTAGCCAGAAATATATTCCATGATAGAATGGTTATCATTCACGCCCTTAGAAGTGAACATTTCAATTGTGCCAATTTAGTCTAAACCTTTTGATAATTTGCCAATTTAATCATTCCATCCAATTTTGGCTAAAAATCGCTAACACGGACACCGTCCATCCTACGCGACATGATCAATATTGACATGGAGGATTTTTGGAATTCTTTAAATTTTTCTGTTTTTCATAATTTTCTCCTTTATTTGCTTTTTCCTTTTTTTTTTCCAAGTCATGTGGCCGGCGACCGTCCATAGGCGAGGGTTGCCCTCACTGAATCTGGCAACACTCGACTTTGCCAGATTTGGCGAGGGCGTCGTGGCCCTCGCCCCACAACCGGCAGAGAGAAATAAAAAAAAGGAAAAAAAGGAAAAAAGAAAATTTTTGTATTTTAAAAAAAAATATACAAACCTTGTCCACGTCAGCGCCGGCCATACCACATCAATAATTTCTTGCCAAAATTGGTTAGAAGGACTATATTGGTAAATTGTCAAAAGGTTCGAAATAAAATTGGAATAATTGAAAGATTTAGAACTAAATTGACCGCCGTACAATAAACACTCTTAACTAGGTAATCGAGTTAATATGTATTTACTGTAGATCAAAAGAATCAGGTTGAATTTTGCATATGATGAGTATGCCAAAAATTGGTTAAGCAACGGTCCTTAATATACTATGAGATTAACAGCGTGTTCCTAATCACAAAAAATAAATCACAAATAATTATAAATGGTTGTGGGGTTCACTCTTTTATTAATTTTTGGTTCTCAACATATTATTACTCTTAAGGTGGCTAAAAGACAGATATACTAGTAAAGCCACAATGAAAACCACCGTAAACTCTCTAATGAATATTTATTTTCCTTTTTGATTTTAAGATTAACCAAGCTACAGATTATTCAGGACACAAAATACACGAGAGAAGCCAAAGTAATCACACATCATATCACTCCACAAGCTCCCTCCTCGTCAACTTCAGTTCTTGAACCATAGAATTCTCAGACACTCCCTGCAATTAAAACACAACAACGACAGGCGTTCGAACCGAATGCCGAGCAGAGACCCACGTGATCGCCCCCTGGGCGAACGGGGTCGTCGCCGTCGCCTTCCAGCCAACTCTCCTTGTAAAGTCAACCCTGTAACTCGCTGTCTGGTTCGCCTCCGTGAACACCAGATCACCCGGGTACACGCCAATTGAGTCCAGACCCTTGATCGGGTCGATGACCGACCGGTAATGCGACTTCGCGGGTCCAACGTTCCTCACCGTCCTTGTCACGCTCACCTTCGTCACCGAACCCTCGAACATCACGCTGATCGACGGATAGTTGAGCTGGTAATCGGGTATGCTTTTTATGCTCGAGTATGTGACTTTCTTTGGAACTATGATCTCGATTTCCGAGTCAGTGTAGTCAAGCCCACAAAGATAAGCGATGTAATCTTGCGGTCCAAAGTCATAAATGAGACCCGGGTCGACGGCTTTTGATGGGTTGACGTGTCCTGCGCTGGTGGCAAAAATGTCCGCCAGATGGAGCATCTGGTCGACGATGGGATGGTGCGCCATGTTGGAGGTGGCGGCGGTGGTCATGATGGCAGACTTGATGGCAGCCGAAGACCAGTCGGGGTTTGCACTCTTGAGCAGCGCAGCCACGCCACTGAGGTGGGGGCAGGACATAGAGGTCCCGGAGATCACGTTGAATGGGTTCTCCTTGCTTGTGGATTTATCTAAAGGAAATGGCCAACCGGCAAGGATGTTCACGCCTGGGCCAATGATGCCCGGTTTGAGGATGCTGGGGCTTTGGATGTTGGGGCCGCGGGAAGAGAAGAATGATACAGCCGGGGCAGCCAATCCCCCGACATGGGTGCCTCTGAATAGGATCGTGGTCATCGGCGCCGGCACCGTGCTTAGGTAGCTCTTGATCACCGTCCCCGCGACGTAGGTCACATGGACTGCGGGTAGGACATGTGCATCGACCAATGTGGTGTATCCCTCCGGGGGACCGTTCACGAGGATCATGGCCGCGCGGCCCGCATCCTTGACCTCTTGACCTTTGTTGACTCGCCCTCTTCCATCACTGATCTCACACACAACCACTTTCCCTATGAGGTCTGAGCGACCTCGTAGTGATCCGGGGAGGCAGAGAGCCGAGGATGGATCTCCCTTTTTTCCCGCATAAACAAGGGGAAGTAGCTTCGGAGGGAAGTCGTTGGGTTGGTATAGGGTCTCCCCATCGAACTCTTGCCTGTTCCCAAGCTGCACCGAGGCCGTTATGTTGCGGTTGATGCTGCTCGCTCCCACGGTGAGAATCCATGGTGCCTCGTTTGACAACGTGCCATTGGACGGCCCGCTATTCCCCGCGGAGCAGCTGACGAAGATGCCCTTTTGGGTGGCGGCAAATGCACCCTTGGCGATCACGTCATCGTAGAACGGTCGGGATGTTCTTCCTAGAGAGAGGGAAAGCACATCCACACCGTCCTCGATGGCTGCCTCAAACCCAGCTAATATGTCGCTCTCAAGGCACCCGTAGACATCGCAAACCTTGTATATTGCCAAATGCGCAAGAGGCGCCATGCCCACGGCCGTGCCATTGGCATTATCGAGCGCACTGGCACGCCTCACGAAAGCACCGGCAGCCGTGCTGGAAGTGTGTGTGCCGTGGCCGACATCATCATGCGGCGAACCGGTATACGACCTCGCACCAATGAGCTTGCTGTTGCAGGACATGCCGTTGAAGTCGCACCTGCCCTTCCATTTGGCCGGGGGCGGAGGCACCCCCTTGTCGCTGAAGGAAGGGTGGTCGGGAGAAATCCCCGAGTCTAAAACTCCGATGATCACGCCCTTACCGAGGTTCGAGTCCTTCCAGAGCCCGACTCCTTGGTGCAATCCCAAAAAGTCGGGGGTGTGGGTTGTGTGCAGAGAGAGCACCTTCTCCGGACGCACGTACAAAACACCGTCCTTCTCTCGTATAACTTCAGCTTCCTCAGCGGTCAATTTGGCCGCGAACCCGGATACTACATTTTGGTATGAGTGAACTATTCTGTGCTCTTCGTTTGAGCTGGCTGCTGTGGTTGGTAAAAATGACCGATGGAAAGCATCGAGATCCTCCCGAGTAGCGAAATCTTTGTCGGTCGGCTTTCGTACCTGGACGATATGACTGGATAAAGGGCTACTTGTGTCAACATCTGCAATAGCAGCATCAGCAGGTGAAATGCTTAGAAGGCAAGCGAGACCGAGAAAGAAAATCATCACGGTGGTCGGAGACGATCTGCATTTCTGGTCTTCCATCTCGAATTACCAGAAGAAACAGAGAAACGATTTGTGCTTCTGAGTTCTGTGTTAAAACTTGCACTTGAAGCGCGCATATATATAGGTAGGAGAAGCAAAACGAAGAGCTCCATGCGTTTGACGACATTGAAGAAGGAAATCAGATGCGAAGCTTGCGTCATGAGGTAGAGTACAATTTTGACTATGTAATTAAAACACGATTAGAGCACAATCTGATTTCCTTAATTAAACCATTCCATGCAAAGGCAGAATGGTTGACCGTCTTTTGGAAAGCTTAAACATATTTTGTTGAATTAATTTCTTTGAGCCGAAGCCCTAATGTTTGTGCATGGGCTGACTCGAGTCTTAACACCTTGAAGATCAAAACAACACGTACAAAAAAACCACTTGACAAAAAGTTTAAAAATCCTATGATCATAAAATGATAACCATTCCCATTTTCACTTCGTTAACGCTCATCGCTTAGAGTGAAAGAACGAGATTCGCAATTCGATTTAATTCACGTTCATGTGGCAGAGATTCATTCTAACCTAATTTTAGTTCGTCATACTCAGCGAGGCCAAATTGTTTACATATGGCTGTACATTTGCAAAACTGAGCCATGAGAAATGTCATCAGCATGCTGCATATTGCTATTCACGTACTTTAACCTTATTCTTTAACGAGAAATGACTGAGATCAACACAGTAGACAATTTTACAAGGGGTGTCCTATCATTTGTACGTTAAATATCTTTGATTACAAAAGATAGAAATTTAGTACGCTTATGCCAAAAGAAGAAGAAACCCCTGTTTCCCAAGCATGATAAGACTATAAAATAAGAAAATAAACCAAAGTAGTAATCGCCAAGCTTGCAACACTTCAAATTTTTTAACTTGGCATTTATGATGATGCAAATATAATACACCACCCACTTCTAATATGCAAAACCTTAGATCTGTGGACAATTGTCCAAAATGTTCTAAACATATAATGTACAACGGTCAATTCAATCACCAACCTTTCAATTGTGTGAATTTAATTCTAAACATTTTGATGATTTTTTAATTTAGTCCTTCCGGAAATTGCTGATGTGAATGCCATCCGTCTTACGTGACATGACAATTTTAAAATTTTTCTATTTTTGTCCCCTTTTGTTTCCCTATTTCTTTTCCTTTTGCCTATGGTTAGTACTTGGCCATGGCCGTGTATCGATCATAGGCAAGGCCTGCCTTCGCTGGATCTGGTGCTCGACCTTGCCAGGTTTGGTGAGGGCCACCCTTGCTGCCTCTAGCGAGACCCTCGCCTGTGCCTAGTGAGGGCATCGTGGCTCTCGTCTCACAACCGGGGTAAGGGAAAATAAAAAAAAAAAAAAAAAAAAAAAAGGGAAAGGAAAGGAAAAAGAATAAGAAAATTTGAGAAAATTTCTAAAAAATGCAAAATTTGCCCACGTTAGCACCGGCCATGCCACGTAGGACAGCTAACATGACTGGATCACCACGTTAGTAATTTCCTGCCAAGATAATCATAAGGACAACATTAGCAAATCGTCAAAAGGTTTAAGATTAAATTGGCATAATTAAAAGTTTTACGACTAAAGGTTTAGATTTAAGATGGACAATTTTCCTCTTAAATATGCCTAAATATGCAAATGAGAACACACTTTAATTTGCAAATAAGGATTTTTAAATAAGTAAATATTCAAAATGTCATTCCCCCCCTTGCATAATAGCTAACTGATTTAAGCAATTGTTCGATATAATTTTCCCGCGGCAACTTTAATTGTGAAAAGCCGTGCCGCAGCATCTATAAGGTCTTCTGCAAGCACCTCCAAAGTCGCAACTAAAAAGTTGCCTCACCCTACTCTAGAACATACCAATGAGCAAACATACAAGTTATATCTCTTCACAATGCAATCACAGCACATCATAAACTAAATTTTAACCATAATTATACCAAATTGACTCTAAACTTAACAAAACGTTTTGTGTTGTGATCAACCGGTTTACTTAAATTTAAACATGTCCTAAATGAATTAAAAAGGTAAATTGTTCATGACACATTTATTATAGGTGCGTACACACACATACATACATACATATATATATATATATATATGATTAATCTTATCCCAAACACTCTTAACTAGGAGGAGGCGGCGGTGAATTTGTCTAACTCTAGATTAGAAGAATTAGGTTAGGTTTTTCCATATGATGGGGATACAAGATAATCTCAAGCATGGCCATCCAATGTTTCTACTCCACCGTGGCAATGTCCATAAATCAAAGCTTGATCGAATTACTTTGACCGAACGAAATTCTAGATTAACTCTCGTGAAGATATAGCGAAATTCGAGTTTCGAATGTGTGAATTGCTTTTCAGATTCAACGATTCAACCCGTTAAGTCCATCATGAACCGGACCAAGACGTGGTTTTACGATAACTGGTACTATAAAAGCTCCAATGATTATTCAGGACACAAACACATAGAGAAACCAAGACCCCTACTAGTGGACTTCTGTTCTTGAACCATAGAAATCTCAGACACTCCCTGCGATTACTCGAACACAACAGCGACAGGGGTTCGAACCGAATGCTGAACAGAGACCCACGTGATCGCCCCCCGAGCAAACGGCGCTGCCGTCGCGTTCCAGTCAACTCTCCTCACGAAGTCGACCCTGTAGCTCGCTGTCTGGTTCGTCTCGGTGAACTCCAGATCACCCGGGGACACGCCAATTAAGTCAAGACCCATGATCGAGTCGATGACCGACCTGTAACGCGACTTCGCAGGTCCGACGTTCCTCACCGTCCTCATCACGCTCACCTCCCTTACCCAACCCCCGAACCTCACGCTGATCGATGGATAGTTGAGTTGGTAATCAGGTATGCTCGTTATGCTCGAGCATGCGACTGTTTCTTGAACTATGGTCTCGATTTCAGAGTCGGTGTAGCCGAGCCCGCAAAGGTAAGCAATGTAATCTTGCGGTCGAACATCGTATATGAGACCCGGGTTGACAGCCTTTGATGGGTTGACATGTCCTGCGCCGGTGGCGAAAATGTCCGCCGGATGGAGCGTCTGGTCAACGATGGGTTGGCGTTCCATGTTGGAGGTGGTGGCGGTGGTTACTATGGCGGACTTGATGGCAGCCGGCGACCAGTCGGGGTGCGCACTCTTGAGCAGCGCTACCACGCCGCTGAGGTGGGGGCAGGACATGGAGGTCCCGGAAATCACGTTGAATGCGTGCTTCAAGTTTGTGGAATTGTCTAAGGAAAATGGCCAACCAGCAATGATGTTCACACCCGGGCCGATGATGTCCGGTTTGAGGATGCCGGGGCTTTGGATGTTGGGGCCGCGGGAAGAGAAGAACGATACAGCTGGGACAGCTGATCTCCCGATGAGGGTGCCTTTGAATAGGATCGTGGCTGTCGGCGCCGGCGCCGTGCTTAAGTAGCCCTTGATCGCCTTCCCTGCAACGTAGCTCACGTGGACTGCGGGTAGGACATGCGCATCAACCAATGTGGTATATCCCTCAATGGGACCGTTCACGAGGATCATGGCCATGCCGCCCGCATCTTTGACCTCTTGACCTTTTGCTACTCGCCCTCTTCCGTCGCCTATCTCGCACACAACCACTTTCCCTTGGATGGTCGAGCGGCCTACTAGTGATCCAGGGAGGCAGAGGGCCGAGGATGGATCTCCGTTTACTCCCGCATAAACGAGGGGAAGCAGCGTCGGAGAGAAGTCGTGTGGTTGGTAGAGGGTCTCCCCATCAAACTCTTGCCCGTTTCCGAGCTGCGCCGTGGCTGCTATGGTGCGGTCGATGCTGCTTGCTCCCACGGTGAGAATCCACAGTGCCTCGTTTGCCAATGTGCCGTCGGACGGCCCGTTATTCCCCGCAGAGCAGCTGACGAAGATTCCCTTTTGGGTAGCAGCAAATGCACCCTTTGCGATCGAGTCATCAAAGAACGGTACGGATGGTCCTCCTATGGAGAGGGAAAGCACATCGACACCATCCTCGATGGCCGCGTCGAGCCCAGCTAATATGTCGGTCTCGAGGCATCCTTTTGCCTCACAAACCTTGTACATTGCCAAATGCGCAAGGGGCGCCATGCCTGCAGCCGTGCCTTTGGCATGACCTAGCGCGCTGGCACCCCTCACAAAAGCACCGGCAGCCGTGCTGGAAGTGTGCGTGCCATGGCCCTCATCATCATACGGCGGAACGACCTGCACAGGAGTCGTGCTCGATCTGATGAACGTCCTCGCACTGATGAGCTTGTTGTTGCTGTCACACCCCAAAACCTACCAAGATGAGGGATGACACGGCCGTCCTTCCACCCGAAGGACGCAGCCTCAAACCATAAGGAATCCGACTCCCAAAAAGTCCCAACGACATCGCTCTCGCTCTATTGGCTACTAACCAAGGAACCTGAAAAGATTGGGGAAAGAGAGGGGTGAGCAACCACAGCTCAGTAAGCAGTGCGTATCTCTTCTAAGCAGATCGAGCAACCACTATGCATGTATACATAAAGCCATACCAGAAACTCGTACTTCAATCCAAAGATATAATATATACATCAATCAAATACGAGTTATTTTATTTCATCAAAGCTTTATACAAGTCCCAAATATACGTTTAAATCCATCATCACAATTCAAACTATCAATGGTCAAGTCCATTGATCAATCTCTATAAAAACCACATCAATGGTCCATTCCATTGACTAATCTCAAATCACACATCAATGGTCTATTCCATTAATGAATCTCATCAAAAGCACATGCCGATGGTCCATTCCATTGGCTAATCTCATATCACATCACACATCGATGGTCCATTCCATCGACTAATCTATTGCTCAATATCTAACCATGGTCACGACACAAAGCCTTGTGACAAGGCTACCAAGATTCCCCCTTGGCAAGGTCTCCACCTACAAAGCCGGTGGCTCGGCCCAGAAGGATATCCTAAACCCAGTATGCATACCCCCAAGCCCCTCAATGGGCTCACAGCGATATTGAGCATCAAACAATCATTTTCCAATACCAGAAATCCAATCTACAAATCAATCTCATAAACCAAACAATTAACTTTTCACAACATAGCCCATCTGCTATTTTCTCATACCATTTCTCAAATCATTCATAAACCAGCTTCACAAGACAATACATATATATAAACTTTCACGACACATTTCATAATATGTTTCCATAACCATTTCATAATTCTTCATAAATCAATATGTATAACCTTCAACAAAAGAATTCTTTTCATAAAGAATTTTCTCAATTCATTTCACGATAATCAATATATAAGCCATTTCTAGAATTGCTTTACCATAACATTTCAAATAATCAACAGGGTAGTAAATGCCCGATCCGAACTTTTATGCAATAACAATACTATTTTAAGTTCTATATATATTTCAAGGCATGGGTTTTACAAAACCGAAGAAGAGATAGCACCACTCACCTGGAATCCCCAAAAATCACACAACGACACTCACTCGAACCGACGATCTCGTAACCCTAACAATTAAACGAGAATCGACGTCAAAATCAAGTAAAATACTACGACAACTACAAAACGGCCAAACGATGCTTAAACGCTAATAGGACAACTTTAAGGCGTTCACAAATTGCTCATCCAAAACGATTATCCAAACCGTCCGCAACGCAAAACTTGAACGCGAAACTTGATCGCGCCATAACTTTCTCCATCGAACTCTGATCCTAGCAAACATATAGTCAAAAGAAAGCCCGTTCAGAGTATTACAAAAGCCCCAACTTGGCCGTCCCAAAATCGAGCCAAAAACGGACGAAAATCAGCCTAAAAACCTCTAGTCGCGCACTGTTCATTGCACGCGCTCAACTTCAAAAATTCATATCCGGCAAACCGAAAGTCCAAATCGAGTTCCGTAAGATCTCACAGCCTTGCAGCACCCTAAACTACCAATTCTATATATATTCACAGCTCAACGACTCAAAAATCAGACTTCGCCGCTCGAATAACTCATAACTCCAAAATATAAGCCCTAACCCCGAAAAATATTCCGATTGAACAAACAATGGGCGCGAATACTTACCGAGCGCGGCGATACGAACGAACTCCGGCTTGGCGAGACTCCTGTGGCGAGCACGTGCAAAAACCCTTTCTTTCTCCCTTCTTTCTTCTTTCTTTCCTCTCTTTCTTCTTCTCGGTGAGCTCTTGCTTCTCTCAGCCGATGGTCTCAATATTCCCCTTTTATAATACTTCTTTTTATTCTTTTTGACTTTTCAAACTTTTTCTTCTCTTTTCTTTTCCTTTTTCCCTTTGACTTTTTGACCTTTAAAATCCATACTTTACAGTTGCAGGATGTGCCGTTGAAGTCACACCTGCCCTTCCATTTGGCCGGGGGCGGAGGCATCCCCTCATCGCTGAAGGAAGGGTGGTCGGGGAAAATCCCTGTGTCCAATACTCCAATTATCACACCCTTCCCCAAGTTCGAGTCATTCCAGAGCCCGACTCCATGGTGCAATCCCAAGAAGTTGGGGGTGTGAGTTGTGTGTAGAGAGAGCGCCTTCTCCGGACGCACGTGCAGAACACGGTCCTTTTCTCGAATGGCTTTAGCTTCCTCAGCGGTCAATTTGGCTGCGAACCCGGATAGTACATTTCGGTATGAGTGAACCATTCTTTGTTCTTGGTCGGAGCTGGCTGCTGAGGTAGGTAAAAATGAGCGATACAGAGTATCGAGATCCTCCAAAGTAGCGAGATCTTTGTCGGTCGGCTTCCGCACTTGGATAATATAAGTCGACAACGAGCTACTTGTATCAGCTACTGCGATAGCAGCATTAGCAAGTAGAGTGCTTAGAATGCTAGAGAGACCGAGAATGAAAATCACCGTGGTGTTTGGAGACAATCTGCATTTCCGGTCTTCCATCTCGAATTGGCAGAAGAAACAGAAGAACGCTTTGTGCTTCTGCGTGGACCGTGTCGAACTTGTAGCGCACTTATATAGCAGAAGCGAGACGGTGAACTACATTGGGAAATTACAGGTTTCAATGGACGCTAACCGGCATTCGGCGGTGGAATCATGATAATCAAGGTAGTTAAGCTCAGTTTGTCGCGGCTTCTTTGAATTTCAACTGTAAGCTTGGTTGCAAGAGTCCAAGAGAAGGAACTGGGTCATGGCGATCTCCGGAAATCTATTCCATTCGACCAAACGAATGTATGTGTAGATTTCACTAGTTTCAAACAAAACAACTAGATTATGTACTCAACTAAATGTTGGTTTATCATTCAATCATTGGAGTTATGTGAAGACTCAAGAAGAAGAAATCGGATGCGAAGCTTCCGTTTATGGCGTCGAGGACAATGTTAAGTTTTTGCCCACATTGATCGGGACAATTGTATATATTAATGCTGACATTCTGGAAACTATCGTCTGTCCAGCTTTCCTTGACCGCAATGATATTACAAGGAGAACAGGTTGAGATTAGCTTTTATAGTTTAGATCGATTAGACAGATTGTGCATTGTTTTACGCTCCATCATCTCCTTTCTTGGTTTGTCTCAAACTATACAAGTGTGCAATTGTTTATGAACAAAGTGTCAGGAGCGTGCTCCTCACATGGGAGCTCAGTGTTAGGTAACATGTCATCATGACCACGTTGTTATACCACAATGTCCATCACGTTGGGAGCATGCAATAAAAGCTCGATACCTTCGAGCAAGGATATCACCAAAAGAGCCCAAGCCTGTCAACATATCTAGTTGGAACCATATTCACCACAATCACTCAAAAGTTTAAGCTAATAAGTTATGAGCCAACTAATAGCAGCTCGATACCTTCTAGTTTGGGATTACGGGTTCTTTACCCTTTAACCTATTTAAGCGTTACTTTTGGTGCTAATTTCAAGGACAAGTGAAAAGCGCTCTCTCCAACTTTCCTATCTATTTCATGTCATATTGGCTGTTGTTCGGTTGCCAAAATGCTGGAGAAGAGAACAAAAACAACATGCATAGAGAAGAGACACTCGTCATTCAATGAATAGAGAAAAAAGAAAAAAAAAATAAGCCTATGCCTCCTAGAATCGGACTGGTCGATCCGGTCCGGTTCCAGAACCAGGTGGGCTGATTTCCAATTCCACAAACTGGGAACCGATCTTACTAGTCCGATTCCAGCTTCAGGGTAGAAATCAACTCATCGTAAAATCAATCATCCTTAATATATTGGGAACTCCTAAATATTTTTTGAGCTTTAGATAATTGTGTTTTCGGTACTATTGAAGAGACTATAAAAGACAACGATTCAAAATTGATTTTAGAGTTGTGTCTCGACAATTAAATGGACATATAAACAAATGAGACGAGCTTAAATGTGCATTTAGAGATTTTCTTTTCTGGGGTCAATGTCATTCTTGAAAGTCTTGGCATCACAAGGATGCGATGGAAGCGACGCCGAGAACTTGAAGCTTGAGCTACGAGAGGTCGGGTGTGTGCGGAAGAGCATTTGGGAAAAGTCTTTGTATAAATGCAAAGAATTTTAGATCAATGAGTTTTCACGATATGTAAATAGTGTTCGGTGAACACTTTTTCACGAACTTCCGTATCCAAAACCAAAATTAAAAAGAGAGAGATACATAGAGAGAGGGAGACGTGATGACTCGCCTGAGGGCCACGGATCAGGCCACCCAGCTCCAGCAAGGGCCGCTAGAGGTCACACAACCTCTAGCAACGCCACCCCAAGGTCATAACACCTTGAGCCTCGCCAAAGACCATGCGACCTCAAGCGAGGGCCATCGATGCAAGATCTGGCTCACCGATAGTTAGATATGGGCTTACCAGCAACGGAGGGATGCCAATTAGATATGCATAGTAAAGGTGGTGAGGCAAAACTGGAATTTATTAGTTTATATATGGCAAATTTGGGGGAAAATTTTCATTAACCCCTATAATAACATTCTAAAAATGTTCAAAGCCTGCTGGATGAGACTTACATTGAACTTAAAGACTTTGGAAAAGCTACCTTTAGGTAGCCTTTGGAATTGTCTTTGCCAAATACCTCAACTTTGGTACAAAGGCCTTTAAAGGCCCAAAATCCCTTGCCAAAGCTGTGTCGAATCCACGAGTCGCCACATTCTAAAAGAAACCGGGGATCTTATGTGCTTTTTTGTCTTGTACTAGATTTTTTTTTAAGTCTTTGTATGTCGATGTCAATGTAAATTGATCCGGTCGGTACTAACATGACACTTAAAGGCAAGATATTAACATAGGAGCCACAAACACACCATAATCTAAACGTTCAAAGTGAACAAAAGAAAAGTTTAAGCGCAACATTAAGCAAAAGATAGAAATTTAAAAATTTTATGTAGTCATCGGTCATTCCCTATATGAAGTTTGCAAATAAATACTCACGAAACACTTATTGAATATAGTTTTTCATATGGATCTAGACACTCGTAAAATCATCAAAAAACACTAGTTATATGTAACCTTATTGAACACCAAACTCTTGGAACTAGTGCTTAGCAAATAATGGAGGCACTGGTTAGCATGACTTTACTTTGGTTCTCACTTCACCTATTTCTCTTGGAAGTTGCAAAAAAAAGAAAATGACACAAACAGTCCCTGAACTTTGACTCAATGTGCAATATGGTATCTGAACTTTTAATTTGTTCAATGCAGTCCTTGAACTTTAATCCAATGTGTAATCTGGTCCCTGAATTTTTAATTGTTTAATATAATTCTTGAACTTTTGGTAGATGTTCAATTTAGTTCTTGGACTACATTGAATATTTTCATATAATTCAAGGATTAAATTGAATATATACCAAAAGTTCATGGACAGCATTAAACAAATTAAAAATTTATGGACCAAATTGAACATTATACTAAAGTTCAGGGACTGTATTGAATAAATTAAAAATTTATAGATTAAATCAAAATTCATGAACTATTTGTGTCATAATTCCCGTAAAGAATGAGAGCAGGTTTCCCGATGCTCCAGAATCTCTCCGCACGTCACTTTGGCATCAGCTGCTTGCTCAAACTCGAAGAATCAATAGTCAGATGGCGAGTCGGTGGGAGCGAAGGTGGTACAAAAGAAAACGCAGCCGACAAGATTGGATGACGAATGATCATGTTAAACCAGTTCATAAAGCCAGTAAAAAACAGACACGATGCTCCTCCCGCCGTGAAAATACGTTCACCGCGAGTGGCCCGGTCAGGACTTCGTCGTCGCAGATGGAAGAACGAAAGTGCGAACGAACGAGCGAACTGTCCACCCTGGTTTGACGAGACACTGAGGAGTAACTGAAGACTCTTTTTTGCATTCGTCCGTGGTTGCAATAGGAACAAGAAAAGCGGAAAAAGAAAAATAATAAGAAGGAGAGGAAGGAGGAGGAAAAACAAATGGGGTTCTTCTTGCTAAGGTCAGCGACCACCATCAAAGCAGCCGTCGCGGCTTCTGCTGTCCCTGCGGCTTTCGCCCTGTCTTCCCATCGTCGCTCTCCCTCTTCTAGTTCTTCCACCTGTTCTTGCTGTATCCGCTTCCCCAAGTTTCAGAATCCGGGCTTCTTGTCTCTCTCCCATTCTTCGAGCCACTTGGGCTCTCCGGCGACTGTCAGAGGCCTCGATCCCGCTCCCTCGGCTCTTCACATGGACGTGCCCACCTCCGATATCAAACCCACCTCCCAGGTTCTTGATTTCGGATGCTCTTGATCTGGGTCGTCTGTTTTGAAGTTGTTTCTCTTTTTCATATGATTTCTGGGCGGTTCTTGATTTTCCGGTGGTTTTCGATCTTTGCAGAATGGTGCTGTCCTGCCGGAGCTACTTGTGAGTCCTTCAATCCTCCTTCTCATGAATTTCTTTTTCTTTTTGTCGATTATAGGTATTTGGTTTTGGTTGGTGTTGCTGGAAATATGGGATTGAATTGATCCCTTCTTTTATCAATGGCATCTGTATGATGGTTTAGCTCTTGGTCTATGTAACTAGAGAAGTTCACATTGCCACCCTTCAATGATTTGTGAAATAAGAGCTTTTCTGTCGCTGGTAATGGAGGTTGATATGATTTTACATCGTTTTTTGGTTGGTGTTGCTGGGTTTAATAGTTTCATCCGATTTAATTTTGAAGCTTACATGTTGTTAAATTTTTCCCCTACAGACTGAGTTTATGGTTGATATGAAGTGTGAAGGCTGTGTTAATGCTGTGAAGAACAAGTTGCAGACTGTCGAGGGTAAGTGCTTATAGTCCATTAATTGTTTCGTTCAGGGCGGTTCATTATGTTCATCATCTTGCCTTCTCTAATTTCTTATCTTTCTTTATTTTTACTGAATTGTTGTGCTGTTCTTCTGATGGAAACTCATCTAGGAGTGAAGAACATCGAGGTGGACTTGAGCAATCAAGTGGTTAGGGTTTTGGGTAATTCACCTGTCAAGACTTTGACTGAAGCATTGGAGCAGACAGGTCGTAAAGCCCGCTTGATAGGCCAAGGTGTACCAGAAGGTGGGTCGACTATTCTACTATGATTGATGCAGTTCCACTGTGCGATTCTCTTTTTGGAGACTTTAACCGCATATAGAAAGTATGTTGCTTTACTGTGACAGTCTAATTAGAAGCTCCAACAGGTTATAAATGCTTATTATTGATTTTGAGTCCATTGTAGATCAGAATTGCAAGTGATGATTGATAGGGATGCCTGAAAGTAGATTGAACTTCAAATGTGAAGAAACGGTGCATAAGTAAGCACCATCCATGAAATGCAATGCAGTCTGAAAATTTGAGGTAGATGAGTAAATTAACAAGGTAGGATAGTTCTCATTTTCATGAATTTACAGAATGAAAAGTACAATTTGTGAGTGCTTTGTTCTAATTGCTGTTGGGTGGCCTGCTACAGCACTAAGTGTGCAATCTAGCTAGTCATTTGGCTATTGATATATAAAGCCATCGTCTGCTGCATACCTTATCCTGTCTCTAAAACCTCTGTGTCCGGTTTGGTGATTATTATCTACATATACGATAAGGTCATTGATTTTTATGGTTCCTCTTGTCATTCATCTTCTTTCAAAACCTAATTGTCTGGAAAACGATTTAGGGGTAAAGTCGCCTCTATGACAGTTGAATGGATAATTAGGTTATTGATGCCATCACAACCGAGCTTCTTTTGCTGAAATAATGTTATCTCTTGCTCATAGCTGGTTGACAATAGAATTTTTAATGCTTTTACAAATGGATGCTGATAAAATTGAAATATCTTCATCTTGCAAATCAAAGGTTGTATTCGCATTGATGATGGTCACGGACCGTCCAATCTTACAAAAAGTTGAATTCGATTTTTACAAGACCTGCATCTGTTCAAGCTCATTATTCCATGTCTTGGTAAAGAGTTTCTGCATTGCACATATCCATGTGAAAGATGGTCGATTATTCGACAATGTGAAAAGAACCAGGGCACACTTTTTTCAGCCTACATGTGGTGGTAATTTGTTCTTGCTCTTGTGCAGATTTTCTAATATCTGCCGCTGTAGCGGAATTCAAAGGTCCAGATGTTTTTGGAGTAGTTCGCTTAGCTCAAGTGAGCATGGAATTGGCTAGGATTGAAGCCAATTTTAGTGGGTTGTCTCCCGGGAAACATGGTTGGTCTATCAACGAATATGGTGATTTGACCCAAGGGGCAGCAAGCACTGGGAAGATTTTCAATCCGACTGCCGAAGCAACTGCAGATCAGGTTTGCTCACCTATACTTCCTTTCAAGTTTGCTCGTTCTAATGACCCATTTTCTCACTATGAGCATATTGTATGGGGGATGATGACGGGTTGTTTTTGCTTTTGCTTCATATTTTCTGTTAATAAAGCCTAAGACTAGCTTAAATAAGATTTCTAAAATAAAAAACAAGTGGTGAAGTAAGTGCACAATATGTGACTTGCATGCAATGCATCTTATGTCGTAACATAAATAGATTTATTGAGCCCTATCTGTGTACCCGTTGTATAATGTTGTATTTTCTGGTACATCACGGATTGATGCATCTGAGCAGACAAGGAATACTTAGTGCTTGGAATAATGAATGCTAAGAGGCTTTGGCGAGAGAGCGGGTCTCGAAATTAGCTGCGATTTTTTTCAAGCTTCATTTCTTTGCATGTAATTTTGGATTCACAGGTTACGTGTCCGTCCTCCTACTGCATGTGTCTAGAGTTGATAGTCTGAGTGTTTTAAGCATGAACTTTGTCTTGGTGTCCTCTGTTCATCCTGGATTGCATAAGTGCTTCGTACATAGTTATGTTACATATGCTTGTTGACCAGTCAAAGGTTTATATAATGTGCTTTTGCTGATTTGCTACTTGATTATCTGTAACTTTTGCTCTTGCTTTACATTTCATGCATTTCATCCCGGCATAATTTAATATCACATGAAACCTTTTTGTGTTTCTGGGTGTCCTAGCATGAGTCTGCCGAGGTGTTTTTGTTGTGATATCACCTGCGGTCTGTCTCGCTGATTGTTTAATGTGATTCGGATTGAGCTGTTGTTCCATTTCTTTAATGTGGTTCGCATTGAGCTGCTGTTCCAATTCTTGTGTTCCAGCCCCTTGGCGACCTGGGAACACTAGATGCTGATGAGAAGGGTGAGGCTTTCTTCTCCGGTGTCAAGGCAAAGCTACGAGTTGCTGATCTCATCGGACGCTCTGTAGCAGTCTATGAAAGTGAAGATAAATCGGACACAGGCACTGCAGCTGCTGTAATTGCGAGAAGCGCCGGTGTGGGAGAGAACTACAAGAAGCTCTGTTCATGCGACGGGACCACCATATGGGAGTTGAGTAATAGTGATTTCGTCAACAGCAAATTCTAAATTCATATGAGATCTCAGAAGTCATAAAATATTATTAGAGAGGCATGTATCGACACGAGGGTTCAATTTGTTACTATTGATAAGAAATGAACAGACAAGTTACTTAGCCCTTCGTATGCTTTTCAGCTGCATCGGTTGATGTCAGGTCAAAAAAACAATTTCGTGCAAATCTCCTGATCCAACATGGATGACCAGCTTTAACCACCCTAAAAATGCAATGTTGATGTGCAAAATCTGGCTCTAAAGTGTAAACATGACATAATTGAACCGATTGACCAGCCCTTTCATGGAACGAGAGAAAGCTTCAGTGTCTCGCTGAAGAAGCAGGTTGACTTTTCAAAGGAAGGAGACCTTCTCGCTTGGCCATCTCGTAGAGCCCGATCGCCATTAGAACCTTCGCATCACCGGTTGCACGCCACAGTTTCTCATAAGGTACGACCACGAACCTTAATGAGCTCGCCATGCTCTTGAAGACCAGTATCCTTGCCTTGCAGCTGCTTGATGATCTCTGAGTCCACATTCCCTCTGAATAGGAAGATGCCTATTTCTTCATCGCAACCTCCCTACACATGGATTAGCATCCAAGCATGAACTTCATGCCTATAAAATATCAAAATAACTAAAGATACACTTCAAATGTAGATCGACTTAGTTCCATGATGTGCAAGCCTTTATCATATCTAAGATGTTGATTCATTTTTTTCCACCCTTATGATGACAAAATCACCACGTACATGTCCCCAAGTACGAAAGGACATGAGGTGCTCTTTTAGCATATGAAAGAAGTCAACCAGCAATGAAAAAATTGTTATGCTTGCATAGTTCTATTAGCGAAACCCCCTACTCTTCCTTGCCTTACCTGATGAAATCACAAGCCGTTAAGAGGACCATGGCTTGGTTTAATTGAGATGGGATAAGATAGATATGAATGCACCCTTCAAAGAATTGTAAGAGAGAGTTCACAGATGACAACTTCTTGCAAAAGCTCCTCGTAGAAAATGAGAAGCACAGGTCCAAGACATCAAAGGCAGATTTTAAGCATATCCTAGGCCACAAAAGAAAATTTGCTCCTGAACGTCAACCTAATGCAGCACGTTTCTCAGACACACTTATCTTTCTTCCTCTTTTTCTTTACTAGAGCAACTTCTACATATTATTCACATTAAATGAATGTTTAATCAGAAAAACTTCAAATGTTGAAAGGTCGCCATACCGGAGAAGGAATCACCCTGCATCCAGTAGATGGATCGAGAAAAGCTGTCAGGTCAACCATGTCTTCCAGATTCAGCTGGATGCCTGTCTCCTCTTCGACCTGTTACATTAACGAGTCATCGTGATCAGTAAAAAGCCAAAAAAACAAAAAGCAAGAGTGCAAGTGCTGCAGTCAGTATTGGTGGTGCCTAGTTGGTTTACTATATAAGCCAGGATTCATTCGGTACCATCACGACAAGAATCAAAATCCAGGGTAATAATCTACAAGAGCACTTACAGAATCAGAGAATATGAAAATTGAATGTGTAGAAAAATTGAAATTCAAGGAAAGAGAAATGAAGAGGATCAAGACCTCACGAACTGCTGTGCCAACAAAATCGCCTTTGTCATCATCCAACATTCCAGCAGGCAATTCCAAAACAAACCTCCCCACAGGAACTCTAGCCTGCGAGGTGCACAAATATTCAGCTTGAAGAAACAGTTATAAGATCATTTTTGGATTCAATAATACTTTTCATCATTTGTACTTTTCAGCTTAAAATTTAATTTTCAGCGTTTAAATAAGATGTTTAGAAGGAAAAAATCAAGGAAAAAATACCACCTGAGACATCAATGCAGAATGTATACCTGCTCAGTAAGAACAGCATAAGTTACTCCATCCGAATCCAACAGTATCAGCACAGCTACAGCTGGTCCTCGAGCAAAAACTATACCTGGCACCTAATAATATTTTATTTCCATGACTCTAAAGAAAATTAAAGTGTTTTAGAGCACAAGCACAATGCGATGCAAAAGTACTTCCTTGAATCACCTCCTCTACAGGCCACATGTTTAATTAGAAAGAGAGAGATTCCACATGAATGATATCGATGCTTAGAACTGATTAACATACCTTTTTCCCAGTTTCTTTGTCAAAAATATCTGCCTTGAATTTGAGAAACCCAATGCGGCTTCCAAACATATCCACGCCCTATTATAAAGATCATTACTTCTCGAGTCCAGAGAAAATAGCGGACATACGATAACACAAATAAGAAAACACACTTCCTTAAGAGTTCTATGGCCTTCATCAATACAGATTGGTGTTTCGGTAAGAGTCATTGTAAAACATAATTCAATTTCGTAATGACCATCAAACGAAATATCCATGATCGTTGCCAAGGAATTCTTCAATGTTTTTTGCCGGTTTATAACATTTACAGATGAGAAGAAATAACATCTTGTGGGCATAGGGTTGTGGGGAGCAAAACATGCTTAATGGTTTTCACATATCTCTCTTTAAATGTTGGAAAATTACACATCCAAGCATGATTCCAAAAAAAAATTTCCCCATAGAAAGTCTCCATTTTTACAAAACTCTTCAAAGCAACTCCTAAAACCAAGCAGCTCTTGCTCGACTCACTACAGTTGACCACAAAATAGGGCAAAGCTCTCCGTCTGCAACGCGAAGCAAAGAAAGGAACAAGAATTAGGCAAAAACACTACCTGGATAAGCACTCGCTTCAGCGTCGCAGCGCCGCTAGACAAAATCCCAGTTTCGCTCTGCAAGTTCTTGAGCCACTGCTTGAACAGAGACGAGTCAACGGCACTTCTGCAGAAACCCACCGAGACAATTAAGGCGAACGGCCAAAACCCAACATGGGATTCGCTGCAAAACTGAAGGAAGAAACACCAAAGGAAAGTCTTTTGACCTGAACTGGGAATCAGAGATTCCGGGGGCAGCGACAATGTGGACGGGTTCGCTGGGCTGAACAGGCAGAGCGAGGGTGCGAGAGAGTGACGATGATGGGTTTGAGCCGCTCGACATTCTGCAACACGGAGGTCTCCTCCAGTGGGGCGACGACGATGGGGAAGTGATTTTCTTGGCGAAAGAGATCAGAGTGCGAGAAGGTTGAAGAAGATGAAGATGAAGATGAGTCATTTTTTCGTATTTCTAGGGGACGCTGCACTGGTCCTCCTCGAAGTGGAACTTTTTAGGCAGTGGACGAGTGTTTTTGCGTAAGGGAGAACGAGAGGTCCCTCAATTTTAATTCCATATACAATGTCGACCATAAAAATTTACTTTTCTTAATATTATCCTTTAACCTAATTTATAACGTAATCCTTAAATTGTTAAATTATTCGATATGGTCGTTGAATTTTTTATAACATTATCGTATAATTTATGGACTAAATTGAACAAGACATTTTCATATAATTCAGAGACTAAATTAAATGTGTATTAAAAGTTCAGGGAAGTAGATATTAAAATTTCAGGAACCACATTAAACACATTAAAAGTTCAAAAACCAATTACACATTTGACCAAAGTTAAGAAATAACGTTGAACAAATTAAAAGTTCAGTGACCGTATTGAATATTGTGCCAAAGTTTAGGGACCATTTATGTCATTATTCCTTTTGCGAAATGACATTTTTCTTATTATATATAGTCTATTTGATTGCTTGGGAAGTAATTACTTTGCTTTTTTTCTGTTTTTGATCAAATTTAGAAAATAACAACAGATCAAAAATACTCCCTTCCTTCTCTTTTGATATAACTTCTGTTTCTAGAACTGAGGACTTGGAACTTATAATAGCTATATAATTGAATTTGTTAATAGACCATACTAATGGCGAGCCTTGACGGGCTAGGTTGTATACCGAACTTAAAAGTCATTGTTCAGACCTATCCATAATTTAAAAAATACCAAACTTTTGGGTCAAGCGGAGACGATCCAAAACGGAAATTTCGGGCTAATAGCCAAAGACTAAAGCGGCTCATCGAGTCGCCCACTTTATGAAAAGGTCACTTTGCTTTAATGTTGTTTAATTATCTTTACATGACAACCCATATATCCATTACAACACTTGAATGCTGTCTATCACAAATTGTTTGACTACTTTGCATCAATATAATTGAATTTAAAGGAATTTTTTCTAATATATATTGTACGCTATTGTACCTACAACCAAAATGGCTTTTTGTATTTGGTCGTGACAAAACGTCATATGGACGAAGAAATTCGTAAGGCCCTAATATGAAAAAAAAAATCCAATTTATGGAATTTTTCACTTACATCGTAATGTCGTAGAGACTATAAAAAATTACATATTTATGACATTTTTATATTTGTTTGTGACTTAAACAAGAAGATGGCATAAGATGTGATTTTTTTATCTACAATGTTTGGTTAAAACCAAGTATAGAGTCATATGATGCGAATTTTTTACGTTTTGAAATTACAACATTTTGACATGCTGAAAATAAGGTTGAGCACTGATTTATGATAGACCTTGGAATTGGATCGGACCGACCTTACCCAGCTGATTTTAATCCGGTTCTCGATTTCAATTTTTTTTGAAACCGGCTATTACCAATCCGGTTCCTGTTTTTGGGTGCGGAACCAGACCAAACCGGGAAACCAGTCCTAACCGAGAAACCCTAATTATTGTATTTTGAGTGGAACTTCGGGGTAAGTTGTTCATCAATACCGTAGCGAGACGTCACTTCCAATATCAAGCATTAGTCACGGCAAAAGAAGGATAATTGAACACAGTCAAGAGCCAATCGTTTTATCATATTTATGGACCACAAGACTCAAGTACTTGCGCCACGACCACAAGCGAGATCTATATTTTGAGCAAATAGGATCAGAAAATCCATATTATACAGGCATGAGGCCAGAATGAAGTTTTATAGTTCACGTTTTTGTGTTACGTGTCATTTTTTATGCTACGTGTTGCTTTTGACGGATGAGAATTTCTGTCATTATTTTAACTTTCGTTTTGCTTGGCTAAGAGATGAGTAGGACACTTCCCAATTGCTTTATATATCTATAATTTTTTTACTGTACTTCTCGCTTTTTGTTGCTATACTATTTTGTTGTAACTCATATTTGTCTCGATTGAAAATAAGTAATGTTTGTTCAAGTTTGTCTTTTCAAGGAATAAAAAAAAACTCTAAAACTGTAACAGCCCGAATTTCGACGTAATTCCGGGATCAATAAAATTGACAATATTTCGCATTTCATTTTAGTAAGTCTCGCCCAGAGCTGATCACTCTCGGGATACTAACCAATGGGGTATAGCTAACTAAGAAACGGTACGTGGACTAGGGACTCGATAGTGAACGGGACACCGATCTCGAGATACGATGAGTGAATATTTTGGGCCAACGTGGGCCGATCTTAGGAAAGGTGATGGATTTGGTTTGGCCAAGGCCAACGATGTACAATCGGATCGCAGGTGATTCTGCAAGACCGAAAGTGCACGTGGCCAACCAGTCCTGAACCTGAACCTAACGATCGTGATCTTTGGAACTAATGATAATTTCTCATTCTCTCAATGATCGGGACCGTCGTAATTCGAATAACCCTAGGTCGATACGCGTATGTCCTAAACAGCCGCCCGTTAGTGAGAGACCCTGAAATTGGAAATTGAGCAAGTTTTGATCACGAAATTGGGCCCGGATTTCGATGTTGATTTTCGAAGGCTTAAGAGACTATTTTGGGAATCTGACGTCATATTACGCTGGCCACACACGTTTGGAGTTAGTACGAGCAAAAAGTGGAATTTCGGTCCAGGGGTGAAAATTTACGGTTTTGCCCCTGTGGGCACCGAGGCTGGATTCGGAGGCCGTTTGAGGTTATTTTTCGCGGCCAAGATCATTTTGGGGTGGCCAGGCACATTTAGAGTGGTTTTGGCCAAAAATTGGAATTTCGACAAAAATTGGAAAAATAATATTATTTTATTCCCGAAACTTCGCAGTCGATTTTCGAGAGCTTAGAAAGTGAATTTCACGAATCCGACGCCATATTATGTTGTCCACGCACATATGAAACACGTATGTGCGAAAATTGGAATTTCGCCCCGGGACCGGAAAAATGACGGTTTTGCCCCTGGGCCGTTTTCGGGTCCGAATTTTTGGGAAATTTTTGGGATAAGTAACTGTGGTTATCAGCTGCATTATTGGCACCAAAGACTCAATTGCCTCTCAATTATTTAAGCCTATCTCTTTAGAACCGTTAGATTAGGGGCGTTTTGGTCATTTTTCACGGATCGGCGACACGTGGCACTTTGGGCTGCTTTATTTGACCAAGTTGGACTGTTTTCTCTCTCCTCAGCCCTCCCTCACGGCAGAACCAGCCCCCACCAGCAGCTTCTCTTCCATTTTCCTCTCTTTTTCTCCATTTTCTCTCTTGGTTTTGGCTTCGCCGGAGTTTGCCGCCGGCCACCGGAGTGCCGCCGCCGACCGCCGTGCCCCGCCGTCGACCACATAGTCCCCCAGCTTCAGCCTCGCCCCTATCCAGCCCTTTTCTCTCTCCCTTTCTCTCTCTTTCTCCCTCTTTTTCTCTTTCCCGTCCGGCAAAAAGGGTCGCCGGAGCTTCGCCGGAGCTCGGATCGCTGTTCCGTCACCACCCAGCCGTCCAGCCTCGCCGTGCGTCGCCATCCAGCCCTGTCCGTACTTCGTCCGTACGGTACTGTTCATCGCGTCCGTACGGATCACTGTTCATATCGACCGTACGCCGTCGCGGCCGTCACCGGCACTTCGCCGGCCACCGTTTTCCTCCCGTCCGTACAAGTCCTTACCGCGGTGAACAGTCGATGTGAACAGTACTCCTGTGAACAGTACCACCGTGAACAGTGCCGAGTGAACAGTGCAGCGTGAACAGTACGCGCCCGGGAATTCCGCCGCCGGTTTCACTGTTCATCAGTGATCGGCCGCCGTTCCCCGTCGTCGTGGTCCAGAAATTAAGTGAGTAAAATTCCTAAACCCGGATTAGGACTGTTAGTGCGTTTTTCTGGACTGGTTTAGGTATTATCGGTACAATTTAGACTGGCTTAGATGGTATCAGTGTGTATTTCAGACTGGGTTGAGGACGGATTGGTAGAAATTATCATTGGGAAATTTAGTGGATTAATGAGAATTAATTGGGGAGATTAATTGGATTAAATGACCAATTTAGGAGCCCGTTGGAAAATTACCGGGTATGTCCGGATTGACTGATTGTACGTCAATTGTGCTTAATTGTGATTGATTTCGTACTGCTATGTCGTATGTGGTGTGGCTGATTTTATGGAGTGCGATTGGCCATTGTTTGGTTTACAATGATTTACTGATTGGTGAATCGCACGTTAGGCCACACGGTATTAATTGGGCCAATTAAGCACGTGTTGTGACATTGGGTGTCTGAGTTATATTGGTGCTCGTGGTGCATTGCATTGCATAACATGGACACGCATTGCGTATGCCAAGAGTGAGGCATGTGATGAACTTGCGTGAGAATGCGTGTCTGCCATGAGCATGTGATCACCTAAAATACCCTGAAGCGTTATACGCTGGGTTCAGATAATAATGAGTTGTGTGATCACCTAAGGACCGTTGGGTCATGACCTTCGGGTCGATACCGTCCTCATGCACTTTGAAGCAGGACGATGCCCGGTACGTCCGGAAGGCGACCATCCTCATGCACTTTGAAGCGGGCTACGGTTCGCAAGGAGAAACAGTGTTGCGCCTCATGCACTTTGAAGCGAGGCTAGAGACACTGGGCCGAGATCGGTTCTTTGCGCCTCATGCACTTTGAAGCGAGGCTAGACGCACCGGGCCGTGAATGTTGTTGACTCGAGTCGTAATAAATAATAAATTGGGCGATTGTCAGTGTGCCAGTGTGGGCCAGTGGGCCGGGAAATACACGTGACATGTCGACGACATTTGCATGCATGAACATGCATGGACTGGCATGCGAGTGTGTGAGCCTCGGTGCATGAGCATGTGATTGGCGTACGTGTGATAATATGTGCCACGTACGTGCCGTGATTATTATATATTGAACTGCCTAACCTGCAGGGTCGGAGGATTAATTGATTATTGTTGCACTATGGTTTCACTTATTTATTTTCCGGTCAGGAGATTGCATGCTAGCCTAGCCTAGGTTTAGGGGTTGAACTCACTGAGATTCGTCTCACGGTTGTGTAAACCGAAACTTTTCAGACCCCCAGCCGTAGGATGCCGAGGAGAGCGCCTCTTTTTGGTATACCGCAGTTCATCCAGCGGTCATCTAGTGTGCACCCTTGTGGGGACGGACCTGCAGCCATGGTCGAGGAAGCTGAGGAGCCGAAGTGTTTTTCATTGACCCCTTTTGACTGAGTGGCTACTGACTGTGTGTTTCCTCTGCTATTGTCTAAATGAATTGTGTAAAAAGTTTTCTTTGGTACTACTAGTATACATACTTTCAGAGGTGTTGTTTGCTAGTTGTGCTACCTTGGCCTCATGTATTTTATTGTCAGGGTGTATATATATATTTATATACGTACTTCCGCTTGTGCTTGATCTCTGTTTGGGTTTGGGTCGGCGACGCTTCCTGGGACGTCGCAGCCAACTTATCGACCGCAGGTGGGATGCTCACGCTTCGTGGGGTACGGGGCGTGACAAAAACTAGATCGAATCGACAAGTCGATTTCAAGGTTTATAAGGTAGGTTCTAAGTTTCGGATACTAGGTTCCAATCCCGATAGGGTAGGTTCCAAGTTCAAGATCTGAAATCTACCCACCCAGAAGCCACTCATCCCTAATTGGAAACATTGTGAATAAAATAAAATTGTTGCGATATGACATTTTCGGTGTAACTTGGAACTTTTGAAAACTTACAAGGTTACTGTATTTCCTCACAATCATCTAAAATAGTGTCATGGAAAATCCCAAATTTAACAGTTATGTCGTGAAATACAATGTTATATAATGGAGAATCTCGAATTTAATAAGTATGTTGAAAAGAAGAATCGAATACAATAATAAGCAAGACAAGAAAATAAATCGGACATCGAATTTAAGTGATTCGCTTCAATGTAACCTACTTCACTAGGTGAGTAATATAGAATTGCCACAAGAATTCACGGCTCAAACACTAACTTCATAGAATGTGGTTTATGGATTATTTTTCACCAATTGCACAAGACTTCACAGGCTCGAGAAATCTCCATCGAGCCGCTCGGTTCATGATCAGGTCTCTTTATTTTAACATTGTTTAATTATCTTTACAGTACAACCCATTTGTTTACCATAATATATTTCCTTGTCTATCACAAATTGTTGGATTATTTAGTATTGATGTAACTGAATCGAACGGGAGTTTAATCTTTATGGTACACTATTGTACCTTCAACCAAAACGCTTTTTGTATTTGGTCGTGACAAAAGCTGGCCCGGACACCTCGGTTACCAAAAAAAAAAACATCATATGAAGTTCAATATCAACCAAAAAGTTTCGTAAAGTGGTAAAATGAAAAAAAAATATGGAATTTTTCCCTTACATCATAACATCATAAAAATTAAGAAAATTTATATTTTTGTGATATTTTTTTTCTATTTGGTATGACTTAAACAAGAAGATGTCATAAAATGTGACCTTCTTATGTACAATCTTTCGTCGAAACCAAGTGCGAAATCATACAATGAGTATAATTTTATGTTCCAACATTACATCCTTTTATCGTAGCCACTCGTTGAAATCATTGTAAACTTTTAAAAAACAAAATTGTCTCGATACGCCATTTCGTTGTAACTTCGATTTTTCCACATGAGACCATAGCATTTTCTTATAGTCAAGTATAAAAAGCCATAAACCAAACAAAAGAGTCATGTAATACAACACTGTGTCGTATAAAATCCCAAACGTAATAGGTACATGCATAGAGATTGGTCAATCCGAGTATTCGTACATAGCATGTCATAGAAGAAAATAGATGCGTTGGGTATCTGTACTAAAAGGACCCTCTGATCGAGCTTTTAGTTCCACAAGCATTTATTTCACCAAACTGAGCATGAAGGGAAAATTTTTTGGGACGCTGGCAATGAGCTCCAGCGATTCTTGATCCAAACTAGCAACACTCTTGATGCTGCAATCGATGCCCTTTCACTGATTCAGTGAAAGGGTAATTCTCGTACCTCATCCTGCAATCCTTAAGCTGCACTTGAGCGCCGGTGTTCTGCGGACAACCATCTGTTAAATCGTATCTAGCCGCCTGTAAGCATGTGAAGCAGTCGTAATGCGAAATAGCTCCATTGCAAGCCGCGTGGCCGTAGCAACTTTGACCCAAGTCGGTCGATTGCCTGTAAAAATTAAAACCGTTATCTGCCGTCTTGGACACCAGATCTTGAAGGACGTCATTCACTTCCGCATCGTAGATGCTTCCGAATCCGACCTTAATCCCGTTACATATTTTGTATACAATCGTCGTATCGGAGTCGGCTGTCACGTTGATGCAGATGCAAGAGAACCACATTAAAATGACAAGAGTTCTCCGAACGAGAGCCATGTATGCCTCTCTATGATTAGAGAAATGACTTACATAAAATATATAACTTTGACAAAGAGGAGACGGTAATTTATAACTTACAAATCCTCGTTGTTTCCGATTTATTTATATGTTACGATGTCCTAGCTTATATCGATTTGTGTGTGTGCGTGTTGTTTTTACCTAGTTTTTGTCACGAATTTTGTCAATGGTCGATATTACGAGCATTTTGTGTTGAGTATGGACTTCCATAGTTCGGCTAAGAGGAATCCACTTTCATAGCACAATTCCATTGTTGCCTTCTCGTAGCATATTCTCATTATTGCATCCAAACCCAGAATTCAAATTTTGAGGCACGACAGAATACTCAAATTGAAATATTATATATGTATATATTTAATTGTACATATATATGTTCTACTCTCTCTTCTCTCTCCATCGTCTTCTCCAACATGTAGCCATGGGGGAGGTTTTAAACTAGTCTCACCCTCCCCTCCCTCTCTTGTTGATTTTGTTTGTAATTTTATATTTTTTTCTTGTTTTTTCTTCTCTTCCCATTTAGATCCGGGAGCTCTCTTCTCTCAATATAGTTCTAGATCTGAAATTTGAACTCTTCCGATCTAATTCTAGATTTGAGAGTTATCCTCTCCGATCTAAATCTGGGAGTTTAATAAATATGCTTTCGGGAATTCGATGCCCCTACGCTCTGTCCGTATATAAGTCATCTACCTCCAGCTTCAATGATAATCGTTAGAGCTCGAATTAACGTCTCGCTGAACCATAGAGATTTGTTCCCCCAAATGTTAGATCTGCATTCGTTCAACCTATTTTGGTTGTCTTCGTATGGCGATGGTGTAGAGAAAGCCAAACCTAAACCCGCAAGGCCAATTGATAAAACTGTACTTACTGGAGAAGGAATTTGCGGCGTATGCTCATCACTTACAAGGAAACAAGATTCAGTAATCGACCGCCGATTATGTTGCTTGACAAATTCATTTGTGTACAACGAGCGTGTGCTTAACTCTACTAATACTTTATTGATCGTCCTTGTTTTCTAGATTTGATTTTGTTTTGCAGCATTTTGAGCTTTTACTCTACTTCGATGTGCTTTGATATGAATGTACTTCCCATGTATCTTTTTTAGCCATAAATAATGGTTTGAATAACTAATCATATACATGCTTTTTGGTCTCAATATGTCATTTCATTGTAACTTCGATTTTTTTAAAACTTTACGAGATTGTGGCATTTCCTCATAGTCTGTATAAAATGCCATAAACCAAATAAAAGAGTCGCGCAATACAATATTGTATCATAAAAAATCCCGAAATTAATAGGCACTTGTGTAGAGATTGGTTGGTCCGAGTATCCGAATAGAGCATGTCATAAAGAAAAAATCAATAACTTTAGGTATAGTCAACAGACAGTGAATTCTTAATCCAAATAGACGACATTCTTGACGCTTCAATTAATCCTCAATGAAATAATAGTTTTCGTACCTAATCCTACAATCCTTAAGTTGCACTTGGGCGCCGGTGTTTTCAGGACAACCATCTCTTATATCGTACCTAGCTGATATTAATCATGTAAAGCAGTCATAGTGCGAAAGAGCTCCGTTGCAAGTCGCGTGGCCATAGCAACCTTGATCCGGGACCGTCGATTGTCTATAGTAATTGAAACCGTTATCTGCCGTCTTATACACCAAATCCTGAAGGACGCTACGTACTTGATCGAGGTCGGTGCTTCCGAATCTGAACTTGACCCCGTTACCTATTCTGTACATGATAGTCGTATCGGAATCGCCCATCACGTTGATGCAAATGCAAAGAAACCAAGTTACGACGGCTAGAGTTCTCCAAAAGAGAGCCATGTATGCATCTCTATGATAAGAGAAACGTTTACGTAAAAGCTATAGCTTTGATGAAGCGATGGTTGTAATCGTCATTGTTTCCAATCTATATATATTTGTCACATAAACTAGGATCATTAATTTTATCGATGCCAGCAGCAATTTATGTTGAGTGTGGACTTGCGTAGTTCGGCTAAGAGGAATCCACTTTCTTACTTTTTTTTGTCGTGTGGCCACGAGCTATCTTGATAGGACAAGTTCATTGTTGCCATCTCATAATATATTCTCTTGAGAAATACTCACGTGTCTATCCTGAATTTATAGTAAGAATAGCAGCTTGTTTTGGGTCATAAATAATAAATAATTAGAAAATATTATGGGGTCCACTCATTCAAGAATTTGTGACTCACAACATGTTGCCAAGATAACAGTAGCCCAAAAACTGTTATGATAGCAAAGCCCATCTTCTCTTTATTGCATGTAGGCCGAGAATTTAAAAGTTTGGGGCACGACAAAATATTCAAATTGATATATATCATATATATTTGGCCTAATACCCAAAAAAACCTCAAACTTTAGCTTTTGTCCCAATTTTACCTTTTCTCTTGTAAAAAAACCTCCAACTTTATGTCCCAATTCTACCTTAAACTGTTTTTTATTCCTTAAAAAACCCACAACTTTAGATACAGTCCCAATTCTACCCTACCTTTTTTGTATCATAAAAAACCCTCAATTTTGGATTCGATACCAATTCTACCCTACTTTTTATTTGTCTCGTAAAAATTTTCAGCTTTAGGTCAAGTTTTAATTTCACTCTAATTATTTTTTTTCTTATAAAAAATCATCAACTTTTACTTGAGTCCCAAATTTACTCTCCATTGACCCTTCGTCAAAATAATTAGAGTGAAGTTTTCCTACCAAAGATGGAGAGTCCCAAAATTTCTTGTTGGAAACTGAGAGATGGAAAACTCCCAAACACAAGCTGTTCAAGCGTCCCAAGCATGAGCTGTTCAAGCGTCCCGAGTGCGAGCTCTCCGACCACCAAAGATGGAACATTCCTAAGCATAAGACACCAACGAGCTCAAAATCACCAAAGATGGAACATTCCTAATCATCAGCTTTAGGTCAAGTGATTTTGAGCTCATTGGTGTCTTATGCTTAGGAATGTTCCATCTTTGGTGGTCGGAGAGCTCGCACCCAGGATGCTTGAATAGCTCATGCTTGGGACGCTTGAACAGCTTGTGTTTGGGAGTTTTCCATCTCTCGGTTTCCAACAAGAAATTTTGGAATGAGAGTTAATGTGAGCAGAATTGTGACTCAAGTAAAAGTTTGTGATTTTTTATAAGACTGTAAAAATTTTAGGGTAAAATTGAGACTGCGCATTAAATTTGAGACAGGACCTAAAATTAGAGGGGTTTTTCATAGAACAAAAAAAAGTTTATGGTAGAACTGGGACATGACCTAAAATTGGAGGTTTTTTATGAGATAAAAGGTAAAATTGAGACAAAAGCTAAAGTTCGAAATTTTTTAGGGTATTAGGCCTATATATTTTCAAAAATTACCAAATTTTATGAAGTATTTTTGGGCCTAGGGACAGATAAACATCTAGTCCGTTAGGAAGTTATGTAGGCTAATGTGGCTCTTCGGCTTCGTTGTTTTACGGAAAATAAATTATTCGAAAAATATTTCTTAAAAGTTATTGGTTGTATCGCTTAAATAATCAGCCAACGAAAAATATTTTCGTTATCGATAGAAATTTATGTCTAAATATTTTCGTGGACAATAAAAATACTTTTCGTTTATTCATCTTTGCGAGGAATATAAGCGATCATTTGTTAGAAAACATTTTTTAAATCATTCATTTTTCACGAAATAATTAACTGTGCCTTCAATTAAAAGTTTTTTCCCCACCAATTCACGAGGAATTTCACAAATCACAGCTTTATTGGTCATATCCATCCATTGATCACGTTCGATCCAAACTTATTTTACATCATCGTTAATTGATACAAGTCATGCTAATTGCAAAGATTTTGCAGCTGCCAACCTGCAATATCAATGCACATTGGCCTTTGGCCCCCATTAGTCATATATCTTTCTTCCGTCTCCTCTTCTCTCTTCTTCTATCTTCGAGAAATTTTCGAAGATCCGTTCTTCGGGCATTGAAATTTTTTGAAGTCTTTTTGAGATACGACATTTGAGGCAGAAAGTAGGACAATACACTTGGCAGTACGACGCGCTTAGAAAGGTGAGTCGCTCTCTCGAGAGGTCATAGAAACTCTCCTTCTGGCGTCATCCGCCCAGCCCCGCCACATGCGATGAGTTAATACCTTAATGAATCTCAACCATCGATACATTCGTCATAAATTTTGTATAGCTAGCAATCGATCGAGGACATTCCCAGCAGCAATACTGGTTGGTATAGACACGCCCTTGAATAATAGTGTACAAGCGTAAATGGCTAAATCAGATGTACTTTCCAAGTCGTAATGAAAGAGTACCTCAACAAACTCTACTTTGAAATTAATGCAAAGATTACAAACGAAATAAACAACACCAAGTGAAAGGACGAACGGGATGAACGACTAACATAAGATACATCAAACCATAACCATTGCAATAATGCCGAAGACAGCCATGATCGAGGCGCAATATCGAGGCGCAATGCTTCCTCCGGCAGCCGAGGCTTCACCTGCTACGGGCGCGGGTGCAGGCGACTCTGTTTTTGGCAGCACGGTTATGACAAGTTTCATGCCGATTGCACAATGCTTGCCGACGCCGCAGATGTACCACTTTCTTCCAGGGGCCAAAAGAGGAATGACGTCGTTCCCGGTGGCCAGAGGCACAGTGCCCACCGGCGCCGCGCACTGTTGGAAGCCGGTCCCGTTGACTTTCAAGACGTTGTGGACGCTCTCCGGATACTTGAAAACTGCAACACAGAGGAAGTATAGCCCTCTTAGCATCAGCTAAGTATGACACCCATTCTAGACAAATTTTCATGCCCATACTAATCGAGGCGATGCCCCCGTCACGGTACGAAAAGTCATTTACATCATTGCATTTTCATTGATTTGACCTATAAAAATTTCTTTGGTGCAAAATTGTGGGACAAGCAAGCATGTTTGCTCGAATGCGCGGCACGCTTCGAGTGGCACGGGCGAGAAAAATAGGGAGGAGCACAAGTCATACCGAGCCGGTCGCCGACGTAGAACTGCTTCCCGTCGGCCCAGGTTTGGTAGTCGAAGTTGAGGGTCCAGCCCTTGTCATCTCCAACCATGAAATCAGTACCCATCACCGATGCAGGAACAGATGCTGCTGCAACTAGAGCCAAGGTCACGAAGATAATGGACGATGCCATGGTTTTAAAAAAGTTAAGAACGCTCTTTCACGCTTCAGAGGGCAGAAAAGATAGGAGACACAGCAACAGTTCAAGAGATTTTCTCGAGGTGGAAGAGAATCCTTGGGAAACTATTAGGGTTGCAATGAGGAGAGACTCGGCTCTCTCGAGCTATATTTATAGGATCAAGTGAATGCGATCCGGCTGAAGACAGGCCAAACAGATTCGACAGGTGCATGAGAAAAATAATACATAAAAACGAATGAAATGTTGTGTAATATGATTTGGAAAAATGACAAAATGGAATGCTTAGGACTAATTCAAAGAAATTTTTGTGACTGACACCATTGCCATCTTGGAATTCTCCACGGACGTCCGCGGTACCGTCCGGCCGATGTTTAGCTACCGAACATATGGAGGCCGCGGAAATGCATTTGAATAAGGCGAAAGGCTAGATTTCACCTGTGGAAGTTGCCGTGCTAGTACGGGGAAATGACGCTACCGGCGCTCATTTTGTTTAGGCCGTGATTTTTTCGAAATCATGAGTTGCGGGTCGGTTTAGATATATTAACTACTCCGCAGCACATCATTTCTTCGATATTGGACTGTTTCTGATACAATTTACGCGTGTGTTTCAATAACAAATTGATAGGAGCAACCGTTTACGAAAGGAAAACCATTTAGATAACACAATGTGATTGACCACAACCTCATTGATGATATCTATAAGGGAAAACCAATGTTGCCTCTAAGTTTGCTGCCTAGAACTGGAACTGTAGATTGTTATAATGGACTCTCCTCGTTGCAAGAAAAGGTTTTGGTGCTTTCTCCGCAAAATAGCAAACCTTACATACTAATTTTTTACCCTCATTTTTCTCTTCTCTCTTCATTATTACATTATTTAATGGTAACATTTGCATCTAAGAAAAAAAATTATTTTAGCATAATAACATAATTTAAATTTTTTTAATATAAGTTAGTAAACAGAAGTGCCTATTGCTTATATGCATTTAAGAGTTTAGTATAATATTCATGATGTAATATTTAATATAATTTTTGTGAGCTTTTATTTTTATACTAATTAGTTGTTGTTTTTTTACTTTGATTGTTTAGTTTTTCGTGCACCTTTTACAAGTAATGATACGTTAAAATAATGTTATATTTATGCCGAAATGTTTCGAGCTCCATCATAATTATACTTTTGTATGACAATCCGCCACTACAAAAAAACAAAGATTTAGCCACGGAAATTAGCCACGAATTATTTTTCGTGGCTAATTGCGACGCAATTTGCAACGAATATATTTTCCGTCGCAAATTAGCCACGAAAAATAATTCGTCGCAAATTTCCGACGAATTTTGCGACGAAAAAAAATTCGTGGCTAATTTGCGACGGAATCTGCCACGGAAACAAAATTCGTGGAAAATTTGCGACGGATTTTGCCACGAAAAAAATTCGTGGCTAATTTGCGACGGAATTTGCCACGAAAAACAATTCGTGGCTAATTTGCGACGGAATTTGCTACGAAAAAAAATTCGTGGCTAATTTGCGACGGAATTTGCCACAAAAAAAAATTCGTCGCTAATTTGCGACAGAATATGCCACGAAAAAACATTCGTCGCTAATTTGCGACGGAATTTGCCACGAAAAAAAATTCGTGGCTAATTTGCGACGAAATTGCTGACGAATGTTTTTCCGTTTCTAATTTGCGACAAAAAATAAATGTCGTCGCTAATTTGCGACGAAATTTACCAAGAAAAAAATCCGTGGTTATTTTGCGACGGAATTATCGACGAATTGTTATTCGTCGCTAATTCTCCTCTACTTGTAGACCCAATTTCTCTCTCTCTACTAATTCCTCTTATCCCTACTAGCTGTTCTCCCTTCCTCTCCCTATTCGCGGAGGAAGATAAATTCGAGGTGAAAAATGACAGAGTTCTCGAAGGCAAATTCAAGGGGTGAAATGTATCATTCATTGCCCTCGAGATTATTCGGGACGCAAACATAGGGAGAAAAGCCAAACAAAACACCCGTCACTTCACTCCCCAAGCGCCCTCTTTGTCGAATTCGTTTTCTGAACCACAGAAATCGCGGACACTCCCTGCGATTACTGGAACTCGACAGAGACAGGGGTTCGAACCGAATGTTGAGCAGAGACCCATGTGATCGCCCCCTGACCATACAGGGTCGCCGACCTCGCTTTCAGTGTAAAGTCAACCCGGTAACTCGCTGTCTGGTTCGCCTTGGTGAACACCAGATCACGCGGAGACACGACAATTGAGTCGAGACCCACGACGGGGTCGATGACCGACTTATAACGTGAATTTGCAGGTCCTACGTTTCTCACCGTCCTCGTCACACTCAGCGTCGTCAACGAACCTTTGAACCTCAAGCTGATCGATGGATAGTTGAGCTGGTAATCGGGTATGCTCTTTATGCTCGAGCATTTGACTTTTTTCTGAACTATGAGCTCGATTGCGGAGTCGGGGTACTTGAGCCCACAAAGGTAAGGAAGGTAATCTTGCGGTGCGATGTCGTAAATGAGACCCGGGTCAACAGCTTTCGATGGGTTGACATGCCCCGCGCCGGTGGCGAAAATGTCCGCTGGATGGAGCGTCTGGTCCACGATGGGTCCGCCCTCCTTGTTGGAGGTGGCGGCGGTGGTCATGATGGCAGACTTGATGGCGGCCGGCGACCAGTCCGGGTGTGCACTCTTGAGCAGCGCAGCCACGCCACTGAGGTGGGGGCAGGACATGGAGGTCCCAGAGATCATGTTGAATGGGGGCTCCTTGCTTGTAGAATTGTCCAGAGGAAGTGGCCAAGCGGCAAGGATGTTCACGCCCGGGCCAATGATGTCCGGTTTCAGGATGCCTGGGCTTTGGTTGTTGGGGCCTCGGGAAGAGAAGTATGCTACAGCCGGGGCGACCGATCTCCCGATGATCTGCGTGCCTTTGAATAAAACCGTGGCCGTTGGTGCTGACGCCGTGCTTAGGTATTTCTTGATCGCTTTCCCCGCCTCATATGTCACATGGACAGCGGGTAGGACATGTGGATCGGCCAATGTGGTGTCTCCCGAAGTGGGACCGTTCACGAGGATCATGGCCACACCACCTGCATCCTTGACCTCTCGACCTTCCGCAACTCGCACACCTCCATTGTCGCAGACAACCACTTTCCCACGGATGTCCGAGCGCTGTTTTAGTGAACCAGGTTTGCAGCGGGCCGAGGCTGTATCTCCATTTGCTCCTGGATAAACAAGGGGAAGTAGCCCCAGACGGGAGTCGTGCGGTTGGTACAAGGTCTCCCCATCGAACTCCTGCCCATTTCCAAGCCGTGCCGTGGCCTTTATGCTGCGGTCGGTGCTGCTCGCTCCAACGGTGAAAATCCACGGTGCCTCGTTTGAAGATGTCTTGGTAATTGGCCCAGAATTCCCCGCTGAGCAGCTGACAAAGATACCCTTTTCGGTGGCGGTATATGCACCCATTGCAAGAAAGTCCACAGAGAACGCTTGGGAAATTCCTCCTAAAGAGAGGGAAAGCACATCGACGCCATCCTCGATGGCCAAGTCAAACGCAGCTAATATGTTGCTCTCACTGCACCCAATATTATTGCAAACCTGGTAAATTGCCAAATGCGCAAGAGGCGCCATGCCTGTGGCCGTGCCATTGGCATTACCGAGCACATTAGCATCCTTCACAGAAGCACCAGCAGCTGTGCTGGCAGTGTGTGTGCCATGGCCCACACTATCATATGGCGGTCCATCGTCCATGAAAGACCTCGCACCAATGAGCTTGTTGTTGCAGGACGTGGCGTTGAAGTCGCACTTGCCCTTCCATTTGGCCGGGGGCGGAGGCACCCCCTCGCCACTGAAGGAAGGATGGTCGGGGAAAACCCCACTGTCCAATACTCCAATGATCACGCCCTTACCGAAGTTCGAGTCCTTCCAGAGCCCGACTCCTTGGGGCAATCCCAAGAAGTCGGGGGTGTGAGTTGTGTGTAGAGAGAGCACCTTCTCCGGACGCATGTACAAAACACCGTCCTTCTCCCCAATGGCTTTAGCTTCCTTGGCCGTCAATTTGGCCGCGAACCCGGATATCACATGTCGGTACGAGCGAACCAGTCTTTGCTCCTGGTTAGAGCTGGTTGCTGTGGTAGGTAAAAAAGACCGATACAAAGTATCGAGATCCTCTGAAGCTGAGAAATGTTTGTCTGTTGGCCTTCGTACTTGGATAATATAAGTGGACAATGAACTACTTGTATCGGCTTCTGCAAGAGCAGCATTAGCAGTGGAAATGCTTAGAATGTAAACGAGACAGAGAATGAAAATCGTCGAAGTGGTCGGAGACAATCTGCATTTCTGGTCTTCCATCTCGAATTTGCGGAAGAAACAGAGAAGAAATGCTTTTCGCTTCCGAGTTGTGTGTTGATAGTAGAACTAGTAGCGTTTATATATGACCCTCCGGAAGCGAACATTGGTACGCTTTTTCTCTTTTGAAGGAAAATATTTTTATTTCCTAACTTGCATATGCATTTCCGTGTAATAATTGAATAAGACCTGGGCACTGTCCATGCAGATTTTCTAAAAACAGACTAATTCATTAAAGGAAATATAAATATGCAGATTTATTTGGGTCAGAAAAGGGGCAGAATTTCATGTTTTCCTAATAAAACGTGATACGATCCAATCCCCTAATAATAAATCGAGCAAACTTATTGGTGGCCTATTTAATACGTGATTATATGTATCTTACATGCTATACAAAGAATTTTTTTTTTAATATGCTTTTATTATACGGGGATTCTTACCTTCCTCATCGATGCACTTATCTGTCATATCATAATAAATGGTTAAAATTACAAAAAAAAAAAGCTTTTTGTTAGACAAAATATTCAATTGAGGCCAAATATCGAATTAGCTTTGTAAATCCTAAATAAAATTCTTTATAGGTAGAAAAACCAACCTAATGTCTAATACAAAGCTCTACAAATATTTAGATAAAAAATTTGAATGTCACACTGTAATGTGATCCATAAAAAGTACCCTAAGTAAATTACTTTCTTCAAATGAGCTGTTAAACATGAAAATAAAATCAAACCAAAATCCTAACGGTAGTGCAATTTGATTTTGCATCTTTATTTCCTAACTTGCGTATGCATTTCCATGTAAGAATTGAATAAGACCTGTTATAACCCTCAAGGACAGGGCACCGTCCACGCAAATTTACTAAAATAGACTATTGTATCAACGTAAATATAAACATGCAGATTGAACGTGCTGTACAAAAACGCGCCATAAATAAATTACTTTCCTCAAATAAACCTCTGAACATGAAGATAAAATCGGACCAAATTCCTACGGGTAATGCAATCCAAATTTTCTAACGTAAAATGGTAATTATGCTTTTTTATGACTCTCAAATTGTGCACAAGAGGAAAGTAAATCAACTCATAATGATGTAGATTTAACTTTAATAAAAATGCAACCTTAAATTTATTTTTATGTGATCTTCTATGAAGATGCAATGTAAAACTACTAATATGAAAGAGATTATATTTTTTTTTCTACTGTTATGACATGGACCTAAGGCATGTAAACTAAAATACAATCTAAACGATCTACCTGTAATAGTGAAATATTAATTCATGAAAGTTTCTACTTTTTGTAAAATGACATCTTTGATGATGCAAATGTAATTCGATTACCAAAAAATAACTAAAACTTTGCACTTGTGCCAATTCAATACCAAACCTTTTAATTTGGCCAATTTAGTTCTAAACATTTTGATAATTTATCAATTAAATCCTTCCGGCCAATTTTGATAGGAAATCACTAATGTGGATGCCGATCGTCCTCTATGGCATGACTAGCACTAAAGTAGATAATTTAAAAAAAAAATTATGATTTTTTAATTGTTTTTTGAATTACTATTTTTTACTATTTTTTCTTGCTTTTTTTTCATTGTGGCTGGCAAGAGGCCTTACCCAGACTGGGTGAGGGCCACCTCACCTGTAGCCAGCGAGGGTCGCCAATGAACCTTGCCGGCAAAATGAAAAAAAAACAGCAAAGAGAAAAATTCAAAATTCAATTTTCTTTTAAAAAATTTACAAAAATTGTCCAAGTCATCGCCGGCTGTGTCACGTAGGACTTCTAGCATCCATATCAGCGATTTCCGATCAAAATTGACTATAATGACTCAATTGATAAATTGTCAAAAGGTTTAGGTCTAAATTAGCTAAATTGAAAAGTTTAACACTGAATTGACACAAGGGCAATATGTTTAGGACTGTATTGGTAATTTTCCCTAATTTGCCAAAAACTATGCAAATTCTTAGATATGCCAAAATATGCAAATGAGAACACGCTTAAATTCACATATATGAACTTTTCTAGGTAAGTAAACATTCAAAATGCAATTCCTTACACAGAAAAACCTCATTAATGTAAACATGTAACTTTATTAAACATGTCCCGATCAAGCAAGTCTTGAATATAATTAATGCTTACAACATGCTATCTATGACTTTTGTGTAACGTATTAAACATGCAATGCAAATATTAATTCATAGACTGGTACCTTTTCCTCTTATAAGGAAAACTTTTCATGTGGTTTTTATTTCCTAAACATGCATCTAAATGTTCATGCATTTTTTGTAATAAATCAAACATTTAAAACGTTACCGATTTCATAAAATGTATGTTAAGCAGTAAATAATTGAATAGTAAAAGGCAAGAAAATAATAACTTGAAACAATTAAACAATCCCCGGTTTTAAGGTAAATAGAAAGCAAATGCAAATATTCTGAAGTTGTCAATATTCGCGTTGTCGATTGTTTGCGTTATCGATGTTCACGTTGTCGATTGTTGGTGTGCATGTTGCCGATTCTCTGAGTTATTGATCATATAACTTTTTGATTTTCAATATGAATTACCCATTTATGAGTATGTTAACATTGTTTGCATGAGAAATGAAATGAGGTAATCATGTCTTTATCATTACCCACACATGTGATCATTTAAAGGGCAAGGCAATTGTATTTTGGAAATGATTTGCATGAAAAGATGTTGTGTACTGGATGTCAATTCTCCAAAATGAGAGTTGATTTCATTGTTGATGCTAGGGAAATCATATGATCATAATATTATTATGTGCAATGCTACTATATGATTATATATGAAAGTATTATGTCATATATTTTCGTAACCCATATATTAGTGGTAATGATACCCTGTGTGTTGGGATGTCTCACGAGTCGGGATAACTTTGGAGTGTTTGGGATGCCTCGGGAGTCGAGATGCTCCATGAGTCAGAATGCCCAATGAGTGTTCAGGATGCCTCAGAGTGAAGATGTTTTGTGTGTTAGCATGCGTCGAGAGTGTTCGAGATGAGATGAAATAACGAATATGATACATGTATATGTACATATATAAACACATATGTTCGCACTTGTCTATTAATGAACTAATTAGTTGTAGTCATGCATCACATTATATGATGCCATCCTCTTGCAATGAAGTTAATAATCTTATGCAACAATGTTCATCGATTTTCATAGGCATATTATGATAGGAAAAATTATGCATTTATTCATCCGATTGCCTCTTATAAAAATTTAGTACTCGTCTTCATTTTAACATTATTTTGTGGATACCAAGTTAATTGGTAAGGTGATCTCATACTATATGATTATAGTAGGAGATCATCTTAACATTGATTTTGTTGTTGATGCAATGGAGATTATATAATTATAATATTATCATATGCACTGCTACTATATTATTATATATGGAAAGTATTATGTTATATTTCCGTAACCCATATATTAGTGGTTATGATACCCCGTGTGTCGGGATGTCCCGTGAGTCGGGATACCTTGAGAGTGTTTGGCATTTCTCGGGAGTCGAGATGCCCCATGAGTTGGGATATCCCAGGAGTGTTCAAAATACCTCAGATGGGAGATACTCCGTGTGTTCGGATGCCCGAGAGTGTTCGGGATGAAATGAAGTAACAAATATGATACATGTATATGTGCATATATAAACACATATATTCAAACCTATCTATTAATAAACTAATTAATGGTAACTGTGCATCATAATATATGATGTCATCCTCTTGCAATGAAGTGAATAATCTTATGCAACATTATTCATCGATTTTCAATGGCATATTATAATAGGAAAAATAGTGCATTTATTCATCAAATTACCTCTTATAGCAGTTTTGTACTAGTCTTGATTTAACATTGTTTTGTAGATATCAAGTTAAGTGGTAAGATGATCTCTTACCTTAAACTTAGATATTTCATTTACTGGGCTTTGACTCATCCCTTTTCTTTTCTTTTCCTTTTTTTGGATTTGTAGAATGGATCACCCTCCACCACTACGATTTGGAGTTCTTTTATATTTTGACTGTGAAATACTAAGACGTATTCGAACCTGAATCAACGATAGTTTATACTAGGTGTAGTTTTGTGATATGAATCGATGTGGGGATACCATGGTAGATCTCATCAATTTGTTGCTTGGTACTTCAACATTGACGGGGAGTTGGTTGGACCACTTGGAGGCTTCGATGGTCCCCTTGGTTTCTATAGTAATGGCATGTCGATGGGTGAGATTGTCAATTCATAGTTTAGTAGCGTGACTTTGTATAAGAAAGTTTTTGGGTTCTTGACTATGGAGTAGTATCGACAAGACCTGACCTACATCCCAAAGGTTTTGTTTTTTTTGGGTCGAAACCTCCTTCCCAGAGTTAATGCGTTGTATTATGCTTCATTTTGTACTTGTATTAATATTTGGAAGAGGGAAGATAAAGCTAAAATGAATTCACATTTGTCAAACTTACCTTTCTTATGCGATGTGCTTATTATGCTTATGCATGCTTAATAGTAATAATAGTTTTAGCCAAAAAAATTTGTGTCGCGTGTGACGTTCGAAAGCATCACAAGATGAACTCGAGATATTGGACATTTGTGTTATGTTTCATCCATAACTTTGGGCTAACTCTAGACTATCTTTGCAATTGAGCAATGACTAACTATTTCCAAATCATCTCTTGTAGGGTTGTGCAACCAAACCGGTTCTATCCACGAACCAGACCGGACTGCCCTAAAAACCGATTCAGTTCCAAGTTCCCAATTCCAAAAGTTGGAACTGGTGGGAATCGGTCCGATTCCCGATTCCAAGTGAAGAGCCACCTGAGAACCAGAACGAATTTGAAACTAGTTTTATAAAGCCTAAAAACCTTAATTTTTCTCTTGACATCTTTTTCTTTATATCTCTCTTTTTCTCTCTTTTCTTTGATCTCACTTACACACTTCACTACTCTCTATCTCTTGCTCACAACTCACCCTCCTCCTCACTCGCTT